AAGGCACAGAGGTCCACTTAGAGGGTATGGCAACTGGTTTTTTTTTTTTTTTTTTGGAATTTCAATGGTTTCCTCTTGATAGATTTTCTGAAAGGACAATTAAAACAACAGTATGTACTTCCAACCCCTGTAAAGCCTATAATATTAAACTTTGATGTACATACAATGGTTCTTAATAACAAGTGCTTCTTTGTGACTCACATGAAAACATTCTTACTGTTATTGTTAGGGACTGTCCAGTCGGTTCCAACTCACAGCACCCCTGTGTACAAGAGAAGAAACACTGCCTGGTCCTGTACCCACAGGCTTGTGATGCAAACCTTTCAAAAAGTCTTGTAGAATTTTATAAATTCCTTGACTTACTTAGTAGCCCCGAGCCCCTTGTCTCGACAACTGTGGCAATAGGCTGTTCAAACAATATGCTTTGCTTATAATTTATGATTCACTTACAGGCTTGATGAATCCCTAAGAAATCTTTAAATTTTCTTACTATCTGAACAGGCCCTACCCCCTTTTTCTGACAACTGTAGCAACTGAAACTAAGACAATATGCTCCAATTACAGTTTCTAGTTAGCCTACGTTTTCCATTCTCTGCTCCGTTTTAGTCTGTCTTTCCTAAGGAAGTTCCCTCACCACAGTGGGCCCCGGGGAAGATGAAGACAAACTACCAGTGTTAACCAACTCCGCCCTGCTAGACGTATATAATAAAGTCAGCTGTGACCCTAACTGACCGTGGAATGAGACACTTTGGTCAAGGATCAACAATTTCCCGGAAGGATCATCTCAGACGCATTTAGAAATGAGTAACTTTTAGTAGCTACCTCAGGCCAGAATTCCAAGCCCCACCCCCAATTCATGATCTGGTCTCAGGAATCGATTGCATACTCATACTTTCCCTCATTTCCTTTCTGATCTATGTCTGTAAGCAAACTGCCCTGCCTAAAATCACAGAGATTGTCTTGGTGACATAGTCCCAATTTGTCTTGACCCCACTTAGCCAATCAGAGTCAAGCCTTCCTCCTCCTTCTGCCTTCACTCATTCTGTGTGTTTGTTCTCAGCCTGGAGGATTGAGACTGGTAGTAACAATTGTTACAATTGTTGTTATGTGACAAACAAGCGCTACATTACAGCACACATCAAAATATTATTATTATCATTATTATAACTTTGTTATATTAAAGATGTTTTAGTGTATCTTGAAGTGTTTCTTTAAATTTTTTGATACATGAAAAGATACACTAGCTGCTATGTCAATGGAATCCTTGGTTAATGTGTTTGAACCACAAGGTTGGTGGTACAAGCTCACCAGCTATAACATGGGTATTTTAAAGCCCAGCAGAGTCAACTACTTTAGACAGGTTTCAGCTGAGCTTCGAGACTAAGACAGACTAGGAAGAAGGAGAGACAGACTACTTCCAAATATTTAGTCATTGAAAACCTTATGAATAGCAGTGGAACACTGTCAGCACCAGATTATGGAATATTGAAATATGATGAGAAGCACCAGGATATCATCAGATGTAGTACCGGAGGATGAGCCCCTCAGGTTGGAAGGCACGCAGAGTATGACTAATGAACAGCTGCTTCTTCAAAGTATAGTTGACCGTGATTACGCGAATGGAGTAAAGCCTTCAGAACTTTCATTTGCTGATGGGACAGAACTCAAAATGAAGAGAAACAGCTGTAAACGTCCATTAATAATTGGAACATGGAATATACAAAATATGAATCTAGGAACATTGGAAATGGTCAAAAGTGACATGGAATGCATAAACATCAATCTCCTAGGCACTCTGGTAGCGTTGTTGTTGTTGTTGTTGTTGTCAGGTGCCATCGAGTCGGAACCGACTCATAGCGACCCCATGCACAACAGAACGAAACAATGTCCGATCCTGGGCCAACCTCACTACCGCTGCCACACTTGAGTCCATCAATGAGGCCACCTGGCCGATCCATCTCGTTAGGGGTCTTCCTCTTTTTCTCTGACCCTCTACCTTACCCAGCATGACATCCTTCTCCAGCGACTGTTTCCTCCGGACAATATGTCCAAAGTATGAGAGACGAAGCTTAGCCATCCTGGCCTCCAAGGAGCAGTCTGGCTGCACTTCTTCCAAAACAGATCTATTGGTTCTTTTGGCAGTCCATGGCACCTTCAGTATTCTCCTCCAACACCACAACTCAAAGGCATCGATTCTTCTAAGATCCTCCTTATTCACTGTCCAGCTTTCGCATCCATATGAGGCTATTGAAAACACCATGGCTTGGTATCGTAGTGGTTATAAATCGGGCTGTGAACCGCTAGGTCAGCAGTTCGAAACTACCAGCTGTTCCACGGGAGAAAGATGAGGCTTTCTGGTCCCGTAAAGATATACAGCCTCGGAAACCCTGTACAGGCTCGCTGTGAGTCAGAACGGACTCCATGGCACACAGCCACCACCACCAATGAGCTAAAATGGGCTGGTATCAGTCATTTTGAATCTGATATTCACATAGTTTACTATGCCAGGAATGACAAATTGAAGAGTAATGGCATCCCATTCATCATCAAAAAGAACAAATAAAAGATCTGTCTTGAAATACAACTCTGTCTATGATAAGATAATATCTATACGCCTAGAAGAAAGACCAAGAAGCTCTGGTAGCATAGTGGTTAAGAACTGGGCTGCGAACCTCAAGGTTGGCAGTTCGAAACTACCAGCTGTTCCACGGGAGAAAGATGAGGCTTTCTGCTCCCGTAAAGATTTACAGCCTCAGAAACCCCATACAGGGTCACTATGAGTCGGAACTTACTCCACGGTACTTAACAACAACAACAAAGAAAACCAGTTAATACCACCATTATTCAAATTTACACACCAACCACTACAGATAATGATGATGAAATTGAAGAATTCTAGAAATTTCTTCATTCTGAAATTAATCAAAAACATGCAATCAAGATATATTGATAATTACTGGTGATTGGAATGCAAAGGTTGGAAACGAAGAGGAAGTGGTTGGAAAATAGGGCCTTGGTGATAGAAACAATGCTGGAGATTGCATGATAGAATATTGCAAGACAAATGACTTCTTCATTGCAAATGCCTTTTTTAAACAAGATAAAAGAAAAATATACACATGGAACTCACCAGATATATTACACAGAAATCAAATTGACTATATCTGTGGAAAGAGGCAGAGGATTAAGATCCCCTAAGAACTTAATTGAACCTCAGCGTAGTGACCCTGCTTGGTCACCTTAGAGCAGGTGGTGGTCTGGCAACGTCTTGCGTCTGGGGTCCCCAGCTGGTCTCCTCCCTCCCTGCCTTCTTCGGATGGCGGCTGTTTATGCTGGACGTGTGGCCAGAAACAGGTAAGGATCACGTGGAACCTCGGCAACCTAAGACAGAGCTATTAACATGCTGCAATGAGTTTCGATGACAGGTAAGACGGAAGAATTCGCACTGACCGCCTAAGACAGGCAGCATCCCCTAAACAAATAATAAATAAGGGGGAAATGGATGTAGACCGTGCAGACCCGGCCAGGAGTTCAAGGCCCTGTGGACCCAAGCGTTGCAGACCGTCCAAACCATAGGCTCTGAGGATCAGACTTTAGTCACGTAGCAGACATAGCAAAATGTCCCTTATCTGATTATTCAGTTATGCTTGTTAGTAATCGCATACATGAGCCCTGGATATCCACAGATAAATGTGAAAACCTTCCCTAAAAGCCGAGACT